GATACATTGTATCTCTCTAACTTCTGGCATAGAGAAAAAAAAAATGTAAAAAAAAAGTAAAAAAAAAAAAGTAAATAAATAAATATTTTCAAATAAATTAGTTCGTTGGATTTGGAGCCTAGTTCGTTGGATTTGGATACCTGGCGGACGGCGGCCCATGCCCTATCGAAGATTTTGATTAACACTGATCTTGTTGAATCTAATTACAAAACGCTACTTCGGTGGTATTTGGTTCCTGCTCGCCTAGCCATAATGTATCCTTCCGTTTCATCTGGCTGTTTCCGATGCTGTGGTCAAGAGGGTACCATGTTCCACGTCTGGTGGAAATGCCCAGTCGTGAGTAGGTTCTGGATCCGCATATTTAATTTTCTTTACTCAGTGACAGGAATTAATATCCGTAGATCGCCGGAAGTGGCCTTGTTTAATATACTACCCTCTGATGTTCCCAAAAGATCGATTAAATTAATTTTATATATCATATTGGCGGCTCACATTACCATAGCTAGGAGTTGGAAGCAATCCTTGATCCCGCTGGATAGGGTGAAACAAAAACTCAACTGGATAATGGTTAATGATAAACTGACGAGTATCGTCTCTGATGATGTGTCCAGATTTGAGAGGACTTGGGATCCTTGGATTACTTATATTACTGTATTGTGAGTGTCTGGCAGCTGTCCCCCCCCTCTTATATTTTTTTTCTTTTTTCTTTTTCTTTCAATTAAGAGTACTTTCCTTTTCATCTCTCTCTTCCTCTCTTTTTCTACTATTTGTTGAAACATTTTTTTTCTCTCTGTTATTTTTGGTCCATTTTGACTTAATTTTTGTTTATTGATCTATGAAACCTGTATGTTTTGATGGCTATGACATTTTTTATGTGAATTGTAATGCTATTGTCTGCTAATTTTTTTTATTTACCTACCAGTGTTTATGCTTATGATTCTGAATCTTGTTCCACCTTGTGGGTGGGCCCTTTCTTTTTCTCTTTTAATGTTTGCCATCTTGTTCTACATTTTAATATGCTTGTTTCTCAATAAAAATATTGAAATAGAAAATAAAATAGAAAATAAAGAAAAAACACCTAGATCAAGATTTGATCTAGTTCAGTGCCAGGGTAAGTGTTTGGGTCAGGTCAGGGTCAAAGGTCAGGATTTTTTTTTTTTTTAAATTGGTATCAGTGTCAGTTAGTGTCAGTGTATTTTAGGTGGAAAAAAAAATGCGCACTATTGTTTCTGGTCTGTACTATGGGTATAAACAACAAATAACATACACATATATGGTATTGCTGCGATTGTCAAGAGTTGGAAAATTTATTTTGGGTTGTTCTTTGGTGGTAGGTTATGGTAGAGACACGCAACTAAATTTAAAAAAAATATTATTTTTTACTATTTTGGGCAAGTTTTCCTTTGATAATAAAAAAAAAATCAGGATATATATCCATTATCATTTACCACCAAATGAAAGCCCAATTTGTCCTGAAAACAACAAGGTATAATTCACCTGGATGTACAAAGTAGTTGTGATGATATGTACGATTTTACTAACACATGTCAACGTTGCAAAATTGTGCTTAGGCATTAAGATTTGTTTTACCCTTAGGCATGAAGAGGTTAAGGAACTCTACTGCCAAAAAAGTTTTGGAAATGCTTTATAGAATCCCCCCACCTAAAATATCTTGTAAAAGTGTATTAACCATTTGCCTTCCAGAGGATTTACCCCCCTTCCTGACCAGGCCATTTTTTGCGTTATGGCGCTGCGTTACTTTAACTGACAATTGCACGGTCATGCAACACTGCACCCAAATGAAATTTTACATCCTTTTTTTTTCCATGAATTGAGCTTTCTTTTGGTGGTATTTGATCACCTCTGCGGTTTTTATTTTTTTGTGCTATAAAAAAAAAAAAAAACGACAATTTTGAGAAAAAAAACAATATTTTTGACTTTTTGCTATCAAACATGTCCATTAAAAATATTTAAAAATGTATTCTGCTACATGTCTTTGCTAAAAAAAATTCCAATACATGTAAATTAATTGGTTTCCGTGAAATTTACAGCGTTTAAAAATGGCAGTATAGATACTGGAATTTTTTTTTTATTAGTAATGGCGGCGTTCAGCGACTTATAGCGGGACTGCGGCAGACATTCTGACACTGGGGGGAACTGACTTGGCGTCACTGACATCCCCAGCGACACCTATAAAGTGATCAGTGCTAAAAAAAAAAAGCACTGAGACTCTACTAATGGACACTGGGCAGGAAGGGGTTAACATAAGGGGCAATCAAAGTGTTAACTGTGTGCTGGGAGTGTTTTACTGGAAGGTGGTGTGTTGGTGCTTTACTGTCAGCACACTGCTCTGGATGGCTGTGCACAACCATCCATAGCAGTGTGCCCGAGCCGACAGGGAGGAGGACTGTTAGTAAACAAAGCAGCCCTCCTCCCCGTCGGAGATCCTTGGTAATCACTGGGCGCTGGTGGGTAATCACTGGCCGGGACCCGGTGATTGACAGCAGTGGCGCAGGTAGGGCTCGCTTGCGCCCTCTACCCGGAAATGCTAAATCACACACATATATATATATATATATATATATATATATATACACGTGATTTTGTGCACCCCTGCTGCCCTGTAGCAGTATATCTGCTATAGGGCGGCGGGGGAGCAGTTAATCCTACAACTTTGTTTTGAGGTTTGGTATAGAGTATGGAAAGGTTAGAACCCTTCCTATGTGTTGTTGCTGTTCAGGAAGCTGTTATGAAAATTTTCCCCGACTCACTGTTATGGATACACGTTTTTCACGAGACATTGGGGTCAGTTTCTTAGTGAAACAATGAAAGCAGTACAGAAGCTAATTAAGGTTCAGTTGCCCATGTCCAGAGCAACTTTCAGCTGTTTTTTGTTGTCCATCTCCATGTTGCATATTTCACACCACTTCCTTTGTGTTAAAATCTTGGCCCCAGGTCATGTTGGTAATGGCCTCCTGGACAGCATTACAAGACTAGAAGGGTTGTCACCTATAATAATTCTGTCCTAAACTTACAAAATAATAGTAATATAGTTCTTTGTGTGCACGCAGGCATGCTACATATTATCGTATTGAAGGTTGATTAAATCCGGTAATTTATATCCTATACAGAATGCCAATTGGTGGGGCAGTCACAGGCCCAGAATATCTCCAGCCACCTCCCTGCACACATATCTCTGCTACAGAGGATGTGACAACTGGACTCCAATGGGCCTTGGAAGAGAAAGAGGTTGTCACCCAACAATAACCTTCTTACCAACCAAGTTACCTTTTTGTGTTTTGGAGTGCGAGTGCCTCCCTAGTGATCTTCAAGGGTGAGCACCAAGTACAACAAGGTAACACACAGGACATAGATACTGCTCTAAGGCTAGGTTCACACGAATGCGGTGCGGTATATGGCATGTGATTCGCACAGGACCACACCGCATTCCTGTGCAAATCACATGCGATTTGTGATTTTGTATGGCTCAAATTGCACCGCACTCGCACCAAAAAGGTGCAGGACCCTTTTTTTGGTCTGCACTAGAATTGGATCGCATGGGTATTCACACCTATGCAATCCGATTCTGCACATCGCACCATGTTTAACAGACCGATTTCGGGGTGTTGTTAACTTAACATACACACCCGCATCGGTTCGCATGAACGGGGTGCGATTCTGATGTGGTGCGCAATTCGCACAGAAAACACTGTGAATTCCGCACCGCAGTGTGAACCCAGCCTGTCACAGCCTCCCCCTAGTATAAACATTGTGTCTAGCATCTACTCATTGTTGTTTTAAAAAGGACAATTTTACAAAATGTTTTAAAATGTTAAGTTTGCAAATAAAACATCATTCCCTGTTCTGTGTCAGTTTTGGGTTCCAGAAAATGCAATACAGCTATAGCCTCTACTACTAACATTTAATAAAGTAGGAGTGCAAGAGTATGTTTGTTTAACCACTTCCAGTCCGGACACTTTCACCCACTTCCTGTCCAGGCCAATTTTCAGCTTTCAGTGCTATCACACTTTGAATGACAATTGCGCGGTCATGCAACACTGTACCCATATGAATTTTTTAGCATTTTTTCTGAGACAGATAAAACTTTATTTTGGTGGTATTTATTCACCACTGGGATTTTTATTTTTTTGCTATATAAATGAAAAAGTCCAAATATTTTGAAAAAAAAAAGTGTTTTTCTTATAAAATTTTGCAAATAAATAATCTTTCTTCATAAATCTTGACCAAAATGTATTCAGCAATTTTTTTTAGTAAAAAAAAATAAAATAACCCAAATTAGTTTATAACCAAAAATTAAAATGTTTCAAAATGTCTTTTTACATTTTTATTTTATTGTTTTATATTATTATTTATTTTTTTAACATACCATCACCCTAGCAGTACAGTGTCACCATAGTGACACTGTACTACTTGTGGGGGGTGATGAAGATTTTTTTTTCTTTTTTTACACTGATTGCTGTTACACCCATAAAGGCTGTAAAAGCAATAATTTCTCCTTCTCTCTGGCTGCATTCTTGCAGCCATTGAGAAATACTATGAGAGCTGTGATTGGTCACAGCTTGTCACATGGTACAAGGCTGTTGTGAATAGCCTTGTACCATGTGACCTCTGTGATCATTAACAGATTTCACACGTAGTAAGCAATGATGCCAGGAAGTGACATCTTGCTTACTACTATTTATGTGATCACTGATTGGCCAGTCAGGGATCACATGAATCGGGACTTCACACAGAGGTCCCATACAGCGATCGGTGTTCCGCTGTGTCGTCCGGACACAGCGGGCACCTAATCACGGTGCCGCATACTCCCAGGGAGCGCACACAAGCAGTGAATGCGGGGGCCGTTTGTAAATTGCAACCCACTTCGGCACTGCTCCCGTCCGGCCATTTATGTACATGGGCCGGACGGGAAGTGGTTAACTAAGGCTTAGAAACCTTTAGATTGGTTATAATCATAAGGCTTCATGCACACAGCCATATTAACCACTTGCCTCCCGGGCCCTTTCACCCCCTTCCTGCCCAGGCCAATTTTCAGCTTTCAGTGCTGTTGCATTTTGAATGGCAATGCAACACTGTACCCAAACAAAATTTTTATAATTTTGTGAGACAGATAGAGCTTTCTTTTGGTGGTATTTAATCACCACTGGGTTTTTTATCTTTTGCTTAGTCTGGACAACCGCGCTGTGGCCATCTTTTGGCTATAGTGCGGTCGAGAAGTACTTAAAATACTCCTATCTATGCTGGATCGTTCCGACAGAAGCTGTCAGACAAAGCAATCATAACAAATGCTTGTTTTGGTGCGTATTTACAGGCATATGGTGTTTAGAAGCGTGTGAGCGTAAACTAATTCTACTGGCCAATATATTAAATTATTCTAGCACTGAATTAATTTATCAGCATATGGGCATGTTTATGTGCATAAATTAGGTTAGTAACCTCCTTTCCAAACACAGGTTTGGGCAATTTTTTTCAATACCCATGTAAGCTGCTCTAAAATACAAATCTAAACATCACAATGTGCATAGACACATTTGCTGAATAAAACTGCATAACAAAAAATTAAGCATACAGTAACTCAAAAATGAAAGATACCTTTAAAAGCATCTGTCTTTGTATATGAGGCCTAATACTTTGCTTGGTTGGCTTTACCAGGCCCCTGTCTTTAACCACTTGGCAACTGCGCTATAGCCGAATGATGGCTACAGGGCGGTTGTCCAGTTCTGGGAGGGCATCATATCAGAACGCGCCCTCCCGCGCCCCCAGCGGCGCACACACGGTGATCTCCATGATCGCTGTGTCCTATGTACACAGCTGATCACGTGATGTGGTAACAGGCCAATCACAGCAGCCTTTTACCATGTGATCAGCTGTGTCCAATTAGGTAAATACAGTTGTCAGTTATCGGCTGCACTTTCCTCACGCTGTCACAGTGTGAGGAAAGTACTGCTGATAACCAGCAATTGTCAGAGGACGGATTGGCACTGATCATCAGTGCCCAGCAGTGCCACTCAGCCGTGCCACCCACCAGTGCCCAGCATTTCCACCCACCTGTGCCCATCAATGCCACCCACCAGTGCCCAGCGGTGCCACCCACCAGTGCCCATCATTGCTGCATATCAGTGCCACCACATCAGTGCCAGCTCATCAGTGACGCCTATCAGTGCCCATCAGTGCTGCATATCCTTGCCACCTCCTCAGTGCTGCCTATCCGTGCCACCACATCAGTGCAGCCTCATCAGTACACATCAGTGAAGGAGAAAAATTACCTGTTTTCTAAATTTTATAATAGAAACAAAGAAAACCTTTTTTTCTCAAATGTGTTGCTGTTTTTTAGTTTATAGAGCAAAAAATAAAACACCCAGTATAGATTAAATACCACCAAAAGAAAGCTGTATTTGTGTGAAAAAAAAAAAGATTAAAAATCTCATATGGGTACAGTGTTGCCTGACCGCGCAATTGTCATTCAAAGTGCGACATCGCTGAAAGCTGAAAATTGGCCTGGGCACAAAGGGGGTATAAGTGCCTGGTAGGCAAGTGGTTAAACAAGGGGTATATCAAAGCAATTTTGGCTATACTTCTCCTGTAGGTCACAGGAGTGCAGTTTGTTCTGCACTTCTGTGACCCGTTTTCAGCCGACAGTGGGCTAAGGTCAGCTGATGTCATTCAGCCGGTCCAGGCTCTGTACAGATCCCAACCATATGGCCGGGATTCACCCAGAAGCCTGGACTGGCACCTGGCTCAACCTCTCAGTGATCTGCCAAGAGCCTGAGTCAGTCCCTCCCACCTCCTCCACAGCCCGGCCCTCCAGTGAGTCTGGAGCTCCAGTGAGAGCTGGAGGGACAGAGCAGAGAGCTGGAGACTGACAGTCACAGGGTGGAGGGAGAACTGAGCGATCAGCAGTGTTTGATCACTTAGCTCTTACTGCAGAGCTGGTGGGAGAGAGATAGAGCATCAGTTCGATACTGCATTCACCTGGGTATATATATTTTTTTAATCCCATACTTCTCTTTTAATGTTTTAATTCAATCACTCATATCATATAACATTCATTTTTTTTTTTTCATAGCGTCATTAGACATGTGCAAAATTAAAACATTTGTTTCATTTCGGTTCGAAATCTAACAAATTTTGTGTAATTGGATTCGGTAAAATCGTTCAATCTGTTTTCGGGGTTTGTTTCAGTAATTCGTATTTGACTTCAATTCAAAAACATTTCAACCTGATTCGAAAAGTCATTCACATTCGAAATTGGTTCAACCGAATTCGAAATTGATTCAATAAAATGTTCGATTTTGTGTTCGAATTTGTTTTCAAATCGAATTGTGGACGAATTTTGTTTCGTTATTTCGGATTCGTTTAAATTTGTTATTTTGTAATTCGGAATTCTGATACATCTGAAAAATTCAAAACAAAAGGAACCGCAGATGTCTAAGCGTCCTAGCATCCCTAAGGACAGCATTGGGGGATGGGGCAGCCTAGAGGAAACCCAATCCTCTGTAGAATATGTGGCTGGAGATCCAACTTCTTAGATTTTAATATATCCTATTTTGAGTCTGATAGTGCTGACAGGGCCTCCATCATCTTGATTTTTGTCCAACGCCAAACCATTTAGAAAGTTGAGGAAATTTGAGATGTTTAGGTCTAGCTGGAGGCATGGTATAAGGCTCCTGCAGCTGACTCACGGTTAGGAGCTTTTCTGCAATTTTATTTTTCAGCAGCCCCTGAACTCTCCCTAATGTTTTCCTATGTGTCCATGTACACTATGTCCTTTACAGGCAGTTGAGTTTACAGTTGTTTTTTTTAATGCACCAAACTTGTGTTCAGGAGTAGATTTTATCAGCGTTTCAAACGCCAATCGCTTGTAAACGAGTGTAAATGCGGCTAACTGCGTTTATAAGCATTTGCGTTTCCAGATGCTGTCTAGAGCCTTTTTGTAAATGCATGCAAAGCATTTTCCCGGTACTCAAATGGACCTGCACACCATACTTTGACGTTTCGCATAAAAGAAAATATGTTAGACACTGCTGCAATAATTTCTGCACAGAAATGAGCTGGAACACATCCAAACACCACAAAAAAAAAGACAGCTAATCTCAGCAAATACTGCTCTCTCTGCTTCTGCTCTCTGTTTCCCTCAAAATGTCTGAAATAGTTAATTTGTTGCTGTATTTCAGTACATTCTGGGCATTTTGGAAGGTCTCCTGAGGTTATCTTTAAAAATGCTTCTAAACGCAAACGCTTATAAACACGGTATGCAAACGTGGCTAAACAGATGTATTTTAACCTGCATTTTCCAGCAGTCAGTTTCCATCATTCAGATGTGTCCCGTGTACAAGGAGCCTAAATCCAACATATTTAACTGTGTCTGCTAGTTGTTCTCAAAGTAGACAAAATTGACATACACCTTTTTTTTTGTATAGGGGATTATAGGAAGGCTACTTAGCCAAGTATATTATCATTTAGATGAACGAATGAGAGCAAGCTTTGTGTGAATCCAGTTGGTGAAGTCTTAAGAGTCCTTTCTTAAATCCATACCAATCTCAGGCAGTATTGTATGCTAATACTAGCATCCCTAGTTGCATTTAAAGTGTGAAGAATGTATTGTTAATGCTTGTCAGTGTCCTAGATGGTTTTTTTGTTTTTCTGTTTCCTAAACAGTGCTGGCCAAAGAATTAAAGCACCTAATGCTATGGCAGCACCATGGGATCTAAGAGCTGGGGACTGCACATACTGTTGTGCCTTCCCCAAGCCAGACAGAAAGTTTTTTTTGTTTTGTTTTTTTTTTTGTATTTTTTTCAGGTTTGTAAATAGTTATTTTTAAATTTTTATTTTATATATTTAACTTTTTTTTATACATAAAATGTTTTGCAATCAATAACTCGTTCATGTCTTTCCTTGGTTTTTATTGTTTGTACAATGCATTAATAAGGATTGCTTAGTAATTTTTGGATTCCCTGTCAATCTGGACCTCATTCTGAAAGCCAAACCTCTGCTGACACCACCGTACTCTTGTGACCAGAATAAGTCACCAGTGTAAAATGGACTGACACACTACACAAGTTAGTGTAAATCAATACTAGGTTTGTATTGAATGTGAACATAGTTTGGTCAAAAAGCACAAAATAATATTGGCATATGCAACAAATATTAATCACTCTTGTCAACTTTAAGTAAAAGTAACAACATCCACAGGAAGTACCAATTACTGTTAGCAGGCCTGCTTTCAGGGATAATCCACTGCCTCCAAACTAGGTAACTATTGAATCCGCAGTAAGCATGAACAAGAATGATCAAACCAGACAAGGCTAGCTTACTCTGGGCCCTCAGGACCTGATGGCAAAAATTTAGCCTGAAATAAAAGAGTTCTTTACCCCCCTGAAGTAACCAATGTCCCTTTAAGTGCAGTGAAGAGTCTTCTGAGCGCGTGATGGGGCCCAGTTGGTGCACAATGGGGAGAAGTGTGAATAGGGATTCTCTGAACAACAATGCAATAAAGCAAAAGAGGAACAGCACTTCTCCTGAAAATAGCAGTGGACTGGTGTAATATCCCTTTAAGTACAGTGGTCACCAGTAGCTTTAACAGCTTTCCCGCCACCCTATAGCAAAAATACTGCTACAGGGTGGCAGGGGTGTGCAAAATCATGTATATATACATGACTTCTCATTTCTGGGTAGGGGATGCACGCAAGTTGTGTGCACACCCTACCCACGCCGAACCACCATTCGATGATCTCTGGGTCCCTCCTGGTGTTTCCCCGCTGGCTCCCAGCGCTCGCCATGTGTCGCGGACGGGGCAGAGACCTGTATGTAAACAATACAGATCTCTCCCCATCAGCTCCTGTACACTGCTTTGTATGGCTCTGGAGGGCAAGTGGTTAAAGAAAAAAGGATGTTGAGCTGGCAGAAGTGGTTGTTAAGAGGTAGTTCCTCTCTGGTCTGCAAGACTATTAGCACAATAAGAAAATGGTCTCTTTAAAAGGGTAAATTGATGATGATAGTGACACGATCATGGTTCGGCCTGCGGGATGGCTGTCCTGCTATCAGTGCTGGTGTCATGGCTGTGTCAAATGTGGTCAAGCAACAGCGGCAGGAAGAACTAGGCTGTAACTTATAGTGACTATATTCAATGTCTGCAACTATGTGAAGGAAATAGCAAATATGGAGCAAGTGTCAGTGTTCCTTTTCATAGGCAAGGCTCTCTCACCCAAGGAATGGAAGCTTTCCCTCTCTCCAGATGGGACCCACTCAAACGCTCTCCTGCAATGTTGCATTTGGTCATCTGCTGACAGATCAGCTTTCTGAATCAAGCAGCAGGGTCAGCGATCAGCAGATTCTGTTTGAATCCCTTTCTCCTTCTGCAGCCTTGTCCGGCTCTCCAGCGATCAACACACATCTCTCTCTAGATCTCTCCCCTCTCACCTCCTGTCCCATTTCCTGGGCTTTTACATATATATGCCACCGCCCACATGCCAGCTCCTCTGGGAAATTTAGTTTCTAATTGCACTGCTCCTGAGTACAGTCCTGCAGTTCAGCATACAAATTCCATGCAACTGTTCTTCAGCATGAGAATGCCACTGTTCCTGTAGGACACTGGCATCTTGTGTTAGCTTCAATGTTCTGCATAAAACATTTATAGCAGGGTGTTACACCTGTTCTTAATGGTGCACTGAAATGAAAATTCTGGTGCCAAAGCCTAAACTTCAAAATGCACTTGGCCGAAAACAAAAAACGAAATGCACAGTTTTTAAGATTAATATATATTTTTTGGAAAAAAATACACTTTGATAAAAAAAAAATGAAAAAAACCAATATATATACCATTTTTTTTTGTAAAATTTGAAAACGGATGTTACAGCGAGTAAATAGATACCCAATAAATCACTTTTATTCTTCTCACAAGAAATGCATGCATCCCTTGTGATAGAAATAATTAGTGACAGGTCCTCCTTATGGAGAGATATGGGGTCAATAAGACCCCACATCTCTCCTCTGCAACATAAAGCATTGGATAAAAAAAGCATTGATCTAGTGCTTTAAAAAAACAAATTAAAAAAAAAATGACCGGAACGGGAAGTGACATCGCTCCAATCCTCCAAGGGCATAGAGATGAGGAGTGGAGGCTATCTTTCCTTCACTCATCTCTATGCCCAGAGCCAGGATCTTTTGATGGTTTCTCAGGTAAGGCTGAGAACTATCAAGGGGCGGGGTTTTTTCGGCACCTGTATCAGTGCTTTTTTTCATTTCGGCCAACGGCCGAAAAGGGTGTTTTTGGCCATAACGTTTCGGCCACCGAAATTTTGGTGCATCCCTACCTGTAATATGTATTACTGAAGGGTGGATTTATTAAAGGGGTAGAGTTTGTAATCTTTAAAAGATTTCTTTTTGACAACATAGTTACAATTATTGTTGCAGTCTAAACTTTTCTCATTTAACTTTTCAAAATACATGGGTAGAGCTTGTTCCTTGTGTCAAATGATTTGTACTAGCTTTATGAACAACGTGAACCTGCACATACTCTAACCATATGACCATGCTGAATTACAACTCATACTATAAAAAGTGTTAATGCGCATGTGTGATGAGTCTTGATTACAGCTGACCATACATGGATTGAAATGAAGCCAGTCCATTGGGGTTTTTGCCAAACAATCAGTGCAGCTGGCTATACCCAGCAAAACTGATCATTGTATTCTGTATATCAAGGATGGCGTTGTGAAAAACAAATGATAAAAAAATGTTAAATTTGTAAAAAAAAAATTAACCATTTGTATAAAAGGAAAACATAATTTAAAAAAAAAATGTACCTTTACAACCTCATACAGGAAAACCTAGCACCTACAACTACATACAGCCATGAAGTTCCATGGATGGTGAAGTTGTTGCACCCCTTTTTATTGTGAGTCACGGTTCCTTCAAAACTAGCTCACGTTTGGTATGTGGATTTAGGCAAACCACAATGTTCAGGGTGTTTATGCAGGTCATTAGTACCATTATTGACATTGTGCCGATACATCAAATTTTCATTAACAGAACAAGAACGGAGGAACCATTGACTGCATCCATGTGGCTGCCTTCAGGACCCACACGCAGTATCATTGGTGTGCAAATTGTCTGTGACGCTAAGAGGAGAATCATGAGTGCGCAGTCATGCTCTACACCTTGATTCCATCCATTGTGTGGTGGGTCAACCTTTCCAACAATTAACTTATCCATTGAACAAACTTGTCTTGCATATCTTTACTGCTGCGAAATGTGTTGTAATAAAAACAAATTTCTTTCATGACAAAACTAGAATTCCTTAATGGTTTCAGAAAGGTAAAACCTATTGAGATCCTGTGGGCTAGAGTACATAATACCATCAGAAACATAAGACCTGAAATCCCTGGATCCAGGTCATTGCTACACTTTCCATTGTTGCCTTCCTCCTGTCCTTATGGCTGGATGCATTTTCTCTCCCTCCTTCCCTTCCCCCTATATTCTTTTCTTAGCCATCTTCAGACAGTGGTAATGTCCAACTTGTTATATCTCACAGATCCTATGGTCTATTTTATTGTACTTGCTCATGGTCTTTGCAACAATAAGCAAACACATATGGGATCTGGGTACCCATCAAGACTGTACTTAGTTGAGTCTTTAATAACTTCAAGTCCGGACACTTTCACCCCCTTCCTGTCCAGGACGATTTTCAGCTTTCAGTGCTATCACACTTTGAATTACAATTGCGCGGTCATGCAACATTGTACCCATATTAATTTTCCATGTGGTATTTATTCACCACTGGGATTTTAATTTTTTCGCTATATAAATTAAAAAGTCTAAACATTTTGAAAAAAAAAAGTGTTTTTCTTTTAACATTTTGCAAATAAGTCATCTTTCTTCATAAATATTGGCCAAAATGTATTCAGCTATTTTTTTAGTATATATAACCAAAAATGATAATTTTCCCCAAAAACTTTTTTACATTTTTCTTTTTTTTTTTTATATTATTATTTATGTTTTTGTTTTTAACATACCATCACCCTAGCAGTACAGTGTCACCATAGTGACACTGTACTACTTGCGGGGGGTGAGGAAGATTTTTTTTTTCTTTTTGTACACCGATTACTTTTACACCCATAAAGGCTGTAAAAGCAATAATTTCTCCTTCTCTCTGGCTGCATTCTTGCAGCCATTGAGAAATACTGTGAGAGCTGTGATTGGTCACAGCTTGTCACATGGTACAAGGCTGTTGTGAATAGCCTTGTACCATGTGACCTCTGTGATCATTCACAGATTTCACAAGTAGTAAGCAATGATGTCAGGAAGTGACATCTTGTTTACTACTGTTCATGCGAACACTGATTGGTCAATCAGTGATCACATGAATCGGTACTTCACACAGAGGTCCCATACAGAGATCGCAGTGCCGCGCGCTCCCAGGAAGCGAGCACAGGCAGTGAATACGGGGCCATTTATAAACGGTGACCCGCTTCAGCACTGCTCCCATCCGGCCCATGTACATAAACGTCCAGATAGGAGCACTGCCAAAGCAGGTCGCCGTTTATAAATGGCCCCTGAATTCACTGCCTGTGCTTGCTACCCGGGAGCACGCGGCACCTGCGATCGCTGTACAGGACCTCTGTATGAAGTCCCGATTCATGGTTAATCCTTGTGAACCATAACCATATCCACTGTCCGTTTGTTCATATGCATCCTACAGCTCTGTGGGCTTAACCTCTCTTGGTACTACCATACGCCATATGATGCTATCTTCCCTATTAATGCTCTTTAAGGTGCATTGTTTTGTTATCCCCAGCCTCTCATTTGTAAGTTATGTTGCTATTACAAAGAAAGGGGCCCCAAACTAATGACATCACAAAATTCCAACAAATTTATGGATGGACAGCACACATCACATCCTTCTACACTAAGGCCCTCTCTAGTGCATTTCACCCATTCAGGCTTAGTCATAGTGATGGTGAACAGTGAGGTTTTTAGGTTAATTATACCCGTTACTGAATTTCTTATTTCTGCTTACATAGAACGGATGTCATCAGCCAAAACCCATTAACACAGGCCCTAATGAAAAATTCAACAAAGTAAAGTTTGTTTTTGTATATTTTCCGACTAGCTAATAAAATCTAGTAATGAATTAATCTGTGCGGTGGCCATTTTTTGTTTTGTTAGCTGGATTTGGTGCAAGGACATGCTGGAGGTCTTCAGCTACCATTGTACTGTAGTGGGCTTGTTTCTCTGTGTTTCTGCACCTTTGAGGAATGGGCTGCCTACAGGCATACCTGCCCTCAATTCATTGTTGTATACTGTATGTCCCAAGGTGGGACATCTATTAGACTAGAGTTTTGGGACCACGCTTCACAGAGGGGCCTTGATAAAGTGTGGCTCCCAAATGCATGCAACTTTTGAATCAATGCAATATTAATTGTATCTGTATGGATGGTTTTCCTTTTTCTTATAAAATGTCTGCTATTCAAGCATTGCACATATATTTAGTTTTATATTATTTTTATATATATATATATATATATATATATATATATATATACACATATATACATACATACACACACATACACATATATACATACATACATACATACACACATATATACACATACACACTCTTTTCAATGTGTTGCTAGGGTGCAAGGACGTGACAGCTTTGTAATCCTTTCAACATTACATAAGCACCTGGCAAAACGGATTCTCAGATATGATAATCTGTACTCCACTGATGTTGCCAATATTGCATAATGTTGCTTCTAGAGAGAACAGCTTATCTCCATAAGAAACTATAATCAACATCAAATGACTGAATTAAGCAAATACATTGGGGCATATTTACTTTAATGAGATCAAGTGAGTTAGGTCTAACAAAGAGAAATAGTACAAAAATACATTTTTGTTTCTATTTGTTTATAAATAAAATGATTGAATCGTTTTCTTCTAGTGGTACACCGAAATTAACATTTTGATGCCGAAACCGAAAATTTAAAATGCACTTGGCCGAAAACCTAAACTGAAATGCGCAGTTTTTAAAAATGAATATATATTTTTTGGAAAAAATACAATTTTATTAAAAAACACAATATATACCCCAATTGTTTTGTAAAATATGCAAGAGGATGTTATGGCGAGTAAATAGATACCCAACATGTCAAGCTCATGGAATGGCTTGAAACTGCGGTACTTAAAAATCTCCATGGGTGATGCTTCAAAAATTTTTACAGGTTAGCAGTGTAAAGTTACAGAGGAGGTCTAGTGTTAGAATTATTGCTCTTGCTCCGACGTTCGTGACGATACCTCACGAGTGGTTTGAACAACATTTACATGTGGGCATGGCCTATGCATGCGTTCACCACTATGTGCGAGAATGGGGGCACTTTAAACTTTATAAAAAAAATGTATTTCGTTTTTTTTTTTTTGCACATTCCTTTTAAAAAAAATTTAATCATTTTTATTCTTATCACAAGAAATGCATGCATCCTTTGTGATAGAAATAATTAGTGACAGGTCCTCTTTATGGAGAAATATGGGGTCAACAAGACCCCACATCTCGCCTCTACCATGTAAAGCATTAGGTAAAAAAAAGCATTGATCTAGTGCTTTAAAAAAAAATGCCCAGCGCCAGGATTGATGGTTTCTCAGGTAAGACTGAACTATCGAGCGGCGGCTGGCGGGCGAGCAAAGACAGACAGGCGGCGGCTTTGAGAGGCGGGGTTTTTTCAGCACCTGTATCGGTGCTTTTTTTCATTTTAGCCGACAGCCTAAAGGGGTGTTTTCGGCCAAAACGTTTCGGCCATGGAATTTCGGTGCATCCCTATTTTCTTCCTTACCAGGTCTCATTCACATAGACAGACCTCCATGCTCATCCCAGATTCTACATGTGTGCAGCTCAGATACACGGTTTAGAAATGATTCTTGCTTTGGACCCACACATAAGCAGGATGCCTGTGGAGGTCTGTACAGCATTCTATGCATGAAGGTATAAAACCTTTTGTGTGCAGCAGTCCCCCCAGCCCTCCTAATACTTTGCTATGCACAGCCATGCAAAGCAGTGTGCAGGAGCTAACAGGGGAGAGAACAATTTTGTTTACAAACAGTTCTCCTCCCCATCGGAGATGCTTGGCAATCACCGGGCCAGACCCAGTGATTGACAGCCGAGGCCGTGAACGGCGGCACGGGTAGGACGCGCGCGCCCCCCTACCCAGGAATCCAAAATCACGTATATATACACGTGATGATTTTGTGCACCCGTGCCGCCCTGTAGCAATACTTCTGCTATAGGGCGGACAAAAAGCGGTTAAAAAAAAAAAAAAAAACACTTCATGATATTTAATTGGCACATAACCTGTTAAACTATTGTTTACCTGCTTGGAGTTCTGCTTTAAATTTGACATGCTGTTTATGGAGCTCCTTAGCCCTGAAATCAACGCACGCAAGTGAATAAATTGGAGCAGTGACTCATTTCAATGTGATGATTAAATTAGCTGGGGAATGTGAACCAGCTTTCTGCTGTGCTCAGTCTTAAAAAATTAAACACAGTGGGGTTTATTTACTAAAGCTAGTTCACTCAGAATCTCCTGCACTTCTGCATGGAAACCAATCAGCTTACAGGTTTTATTGCTAAAGCTTAAAGTGGTACTAAACCCAGGACCCTGCATTCACTGGTCACATGGAAGTGCAATTATTTTAGTAAATATAAACTGCTAAATACCTTTTCTCATCAGCAGTTAGAACAGTCTTGTAACTTCTATCAGTGTGCAGCAGAGCACTGGTTAAAGCTTGTAGGAGTTTTCATATTGCTCTAGTGAGGATGCAGGACCCCTCACCTCTTTCTAGACAGTGCTGATTGGCCCTTTGCTGATCACATGCACTCTCCCAAGGAACAAAAAAAAACCTCTCAAGCAATACACATCAAACTGAGCATGTGCAGGGTGACTCCACATGATATGTCTTATCAGCAGGGCCGGTGCTAGGCTATTTTGCGCCCTAGCAAGACCACCTACTTGTGCCCCCCCCCCCCCCCCAAAAATTTTTTTAAAAAACAGTAGAAAATGTTAAATCAACATAACATGAAACTGCTAAATGTCTTTTTTATTTGCAAAAATAAGTGCAATAAGATGCCACCAGCATCAATATTAAAGACAAAATCAGTGTTACAGACGGACTGTATCTGTGGCTGGCAGTGGCAGGGTGACAGTTGCGGTGAGTGGAGGATAATGGATCCACACTGACAGATCCCAGGCTGGAATTCCCTAGGCAATGTGGGGAGATTAAACGCTGTGACAGCAGGCAGCCCAGCCCAGCGCGCACGTGCACGCACACACCTGAACTGAGCGATCCCACACAGTGACAGATCCGACACAACACACCACCACCAACACAGATCAGCAGGCCCAGAAGGCACTAGAAGAGCAAACTGTGGGATTGTGATGATGTCATCACTCACTGCCACATTGCACATGTGATGGATGGCCGGCTGGCCTGGTTACACTCACACAGACATGAGACATCAGACTCAGACCTTATCTTCCTCCGCAAGCGCAGCCCCACCTTTGCTGATGAATGGGAAGAGAAGGGTTGGAACTCCACAGTGATCAGCAGCTGCCAGCTGACTTGCAGTAAGGGACTGAGTCTGAGAGGAACACTGGAAGGATCGGCAGCTCAGCTGCTGCACTGGCCCCAGACACCCGGCATATTCCTCTGTCCTTTCTTCCTCCCCTCCCCTCAGCTGAAGGATTATTCATGACGTGGAGGAGTCCCACACAGTGAGAGTGCCAGCCTGTGTTGCACCCAGGCGCCCTTTGGTGGCAGTACACCCTAGGCAGCTGCTTAATTTGACTAATGGAAGCACCGGCCTTGCTAATCATGAGTGGGCACACTGGAAGGAGAGGATCAGAGAAGTCAGGATCAAACAGCATTTTTACACAGTGT